ATCTTTCACCGGGGATCGAAGGCTCACTGCCGATGTCCCGGTGGGAAAAGCTGGGCTGGGGTGTCTCACCCTTCAGAATGCCAACTTTAAAAAACTTCACCTGGGGCTGGGCACAGTGGCTCACACCTGTAATCCTAGCTCTCTGGGAGGCCGAGGCGGGCGGATTGTTTGAGCTCAGGAGTTCGAAACCAGCCTGAGCAAGAGCGAGACCCCCGTCTCTACCAAAAATAGAAAGAAATTAATCGGACAACTAAAAATATATAGAAAAAAACTAGCCGGGCATGGTGGTGCATGCCTGTAGTCCCAGCTACTCGGGAGGCTGAGGCAGGAGGATCGCTTGAGCCCAGGAGTGTGAGGTTGCTGTGAGCTAGGCTGATGCCATGGCACTCACTCTAGCCCAGGCAAAAAGAGTGAGACTCTGTCTCAAAAAAAAAAAAAACAAAAAAACTTCACCTGGGCTGGGCACAGTGGCTCACACCTGTAATCCCAGCACTCCGGGAGGCCGAGGCAGGAGGATCACTTGAGCTCAGGAGTTCAAGACTAGCCTGAGACCCTGTCTCTATATTTAAAAAAAAAAAAAAAAAAGTAAAAAAACTTCATCTGTTTTCAGCACAGTGCCACCCCCTATCCAGCTGTGCCTGGGGTACCAAATGCAGGGCCACCTCTGGTTCAGGCATCCCCAGAGAGCAAGTCTCCAGGCTTCCTCCGGGTTCCAGCTTGCTGTCACGTGGCAGTGAGGAACTGGGGAGGGCTCTGCTCCTTCAGGAACTTTCTACAGTTCTCATCCCGCGGAGCCTGTCCAGGGGCTGCCGTGAGAACTGATGCCTCCGTGCAGATCTGTGCTCTTCCTGCCTGTTCTCAAAACTCACTGGTGTCTTTGCCAGAGAACAGGCGAAGGGAAAAGGCATGAGATCCCAGCTGTCTCTGCAACCCAGTTCCCTTTTACGGTTTGCTTTCCATCTTCCAAGTTTTTGTTGACACTCTCACCTGCTTAGCCCCTCTCTCTTGTTCGGCCTGTTGAGTTTACCTTTTTTATGCTCTTGCTATCAACTTGGTTGGGTTTCAAGGGAGGGTTGGTTCTGTGGGTAACTGGGATGCCCCTTTGGGTCTCTCCCCTCCCTGTTTCCTCCCTCTGAAATCCTCTTCCTTCTCTCTTCCCTTTAGTGGCCCGTTGTCATCCTTCCTTCTCCGCTCTGCATGCCACCTCCTCAGGGAAGCCTTCCTGGAATGCTTCCCCGTGTTCCATTCTCTCTTATCACCACCAAATTTTCAGTGCCCTTGACTGACGGCATGAGTGAGCTTCCCTGTGGAAGCTATTTCCTTGATAGTGTTTATCACACTTGTGAATTACTTTACTTGCTGATTGGTTTACTCGGGCTCCCATGTGCCCCTGGCAGTGCTGGCACACGGCAAACGTGTACAACAGAGCAAAGATTTAGCAGGAAAACAGCGCCACTTGCCTGGGCAGCAGGGGGCTGGCAGGCTGTACGGGCAGGGGTGGGGGTCTGCTGCCCAGGGCCAAGGGCCGGGGCTTGCAGGGGCTAGGCGAGGGCTGCCCAGGCAGTGGGCATCTGACCAGCCCCCTGCTCCACCCCGTGGCTGCAGACAGACCCTGTGCGGCTGACCCAGCTGTACGAGCAGGCTCGGTGGGACCTGCTGCTGGAGGAAATCGACTGCACTGAGGAGGAGATGATGGTGTTCGCAGCCCTGCAGGTGCCAGGCGGGCCTGGGCGTCTCGGGGTGGCTGGGGTGCGGGCCAGTCCCAGGGCAGGAAGGGCCTCCCAGAGTGGGGCCAGTCTTTGGGGCAGCTCAGCTTAGGGGCACTGTTGGGCGACTGGGCTGCCAGACTCAGCCCTCCCTGGCCACGTGCCCCACCCAGTACCACGTCAACAAGCTGTCCCAGAGCGGGGAGGTGGGCGAACCGGCTGGCACAGACCCGGGGCTGGACGACTTGGATGCAGCCCTGAGCAACCTGGAGGTGAAGCTGGAAGGGTCGGCACCCACAGATATGCTGGTGAGGAGGGACTCGGGGGAGGTGCAGGGTCAGGGCCAAGCATGGGGGACCCAGGTATCCCTCTGACTCCTCTCCTGCCACAGGACAGCCTCACCGCCATCCCAGAGCTCAAGGACCACCTCCGAATCTTCCGGTGAGTGAGGCCCAGAGACGGCAGCCCTGCTGGAGAGGCCGGTCTGCGGGCGGAGGGAAGGAAGGAGGAGCGTGGCCTTTCACCGACCTGCCCCTCGCTCCTCAGGCCCCGGAAGCTGACCCTGAAGGGCTACCGCCAGTACTGGGTGCTGTTCAAGGAGACCACACTGTCCTACTACAAGAGCCAGGACGAGGCCCCAGGGGACCCCATTCAGCAGCTCAACCTCAAGGGTGAGTTAACAGGGCAGGGGCTGGTGGGGGCCCCACCTGGCCCACCTATGGGCTGGGCAGGTGAGTGCTGCCACCTAGCCTCAGCTTCCTCTTGGGGACCAGGGAAGATGCCCTCTGTCCTGAGGTGGCTGTGGGGGGCTGGCATGCACACAGGGACCGCTCAGGCAGCTGTCCCCCTCCCCAGCCTCCTAGGCCACCCCTTCCTCTCCCCTCCAGGCTGTGAGGTGGTCCCCGATGTCAATGTCTCGGGCCAGAAGTTCTGCATCAAACTCCTAGTGCCCTCACCTGAGGGCATGAGCGAGCTCTACCTGCGGTGCCAGGACGTGAGTGAGAGCCGGGCAGGGGGCCGCAGCAGGGACGAAGGCAGGCGCTGGGGCAGGGGCTGGCACCAGGGCTGAAGGGCATTGAGGACAGGGAGGGGGAGGGACCAGAGCTTGGCGAGCACCCTCTCCTCTGTCCCTCCTGCGCAGGAGCAGCAGTATGCCCGCTGGATGGCCGGCTGCCGACTGGCCTCCAAGGGCCGCACCATGGCAGACAGCAGCTACGCCAGCGAGGTGCAGGCCATCCTGGCCTTCCTCAGCCTGCAGCGGACAGGCGGCGGGGGCTCGGGCAACCACCCCCAGGGCCCTGACGCCTCTGCCGAGGGCCTCAACCCCTATGGCCTTGTTGCCCCCCGCTTCCAGCGCAAGTTCAAGGCCAAGCAGGTGCCAGAGGGAGTGGGAGGTGGGAATGACCACAGCATTTACCCAGCCACCCTTGACCCCTGGATCTTCACTGAGCCTTCCTCGGGAACGCCACGTGGTCACTCGTTCCTTCTCCCACTGTGTCCCTGAGACTGTGCGGCTGGTCCCCACCTTCTGGGAGGGGTCACGGTCTAGTGCCCACATCCACCCCAAGGCCTGCCTCAGCCCACCCTTGCCGAGTGGAGAGGTTGCATTTTCGCAGCCCCGCACGGGACACTGCCCCTTCCCAGGCTCAGCATCCTGTCTCCCTGACAGGGGCAGGCGGGGTGGAATAGGGAGGGTTGTCTCAGGGACTTTGGGGGAGGGGAAGAGAGCCAGGCAGCCCCTCACCCGTATGGTCCCACAGCTCACGCCTCGGATCCTGGAAGCCCACCAGAACGTGGCCCAGCTCTCGCTGACCGAGGCCCAGCTGCGCTTCATCCAGGCCTGGCAGTCTTTGCCTGACTTCGGCATCTCCTATTTCATGGTCAGGTGCGATCCCCAACCCTGCCCTGCCCACCGAGCACTGACTCTGCCCTCATCTGCTGCCTGGCGGCTTCGCACCCACATCCCGAGAGTAGGTCCTGGGCTGACACCCTGAAGCTTCCCTTCCCTTGTCCTCTGTGGGCAGACCTTGCTGAGGCCCCCCCATGGGGTCCCACATTCTGCACCCCCACAGCAAACACAAGAGGCTGAGCTCAGGCCAGGAAAGCAGGAGACCCAGCTCCTGCCCCACCGTGCCACGGACTGTTCACTCTCCGGGCCGGGTTGGCTGGTCTGCAGGACAGGGCTAATGGCAGATGCTGTTACAGGCAGGGGCCCCCTTCAATTCTTCAATTCCCAGAGTGCAAAGACATGAGCGAGGCAACAGCTGCTGCTGCTGCTACCAAAACCTCAAAAAAGTTATTATTTAAAGGCATGGACTGTTCGTCTGATGCTGCTAAATGCTGTTATAATGATTATATCAATTAACCCCCGTTTTCCAGACGAGGGGACCTAAATGGCTTGCTCAGGGTTGCACAGCTGGGGAGCCGCAGAGCTGGGAAAGGAACACAGCTCTTACTCCGTCATGCTGGCTCTGGAGCCCCGTGCCATGCTCTGAGTGGGCTCCAGACCATGCAGGGTGGAGCCCTTGCTCACTTTCTCTCCTCCTGGAGACCAGGTTCAAGGGCAGCAGGAAGGATGAGATCCTGGGCATCGCCAACAACCGGCTGATCCGCATCGACTTGGCCGTGGGTGATGTGGTCAAGACCTGGCGCTTCAGCAACATGCGCCAGTGGAATGTCAACTGGGACATCCGGCAGGTGGGCTCAGAGTGACGGGAGGGATGGGGACAGGTGGCTGGGCCAGATCCAGCCAGGGCAGGGCAGGGGCTGCTCCCTTATCCCACCCACCTTATCCCCTCTGACTGCCCACCCTGCAGGTGGCCATCGAGTTTGATGAGCACATCAACGTGGCCTTCAGCTGTGTGTCTGCCAGCTGCCGCATTGTGCACGAGTACATCGGGGGCTACATTTTCCTGTCGACTCGGGAACGTGCCCGTGGGGAGGAGCTGGATGAGGACCTCTTCCTGCAGCTCACGGGCGGCCATGAGGCCTTCTAAGGGCTGTCTGACTGCCCTGCCCTGCTCACCACCGGCCACGGCCACTCCCAAGCCCACACTCACTGGGACTCACTGCCCCATACCTGCTACAAGCAGGCACTGAGCTGGGCACATTCCCCTGCTGTCACTGGCTTTGTGCAGGTCAGGGACCTGGCTGTGCTAGACTCTGCCATCACCCAGGCTAGGTACAAGGGGCCCTGAGCTTGTGCAGCATCCCCCTTCCCTTGTCTGAGTGGCTGAGGTCAACACTCTTGACCTATCTATAGTCCCTGAGCACACACAGAAGACCAGATGTAGCTACCGGATGATGAATCATGGTTTCACGAGTTTCTTTCTTGTTACTTTTTAAAATTTCTTTTTTATAAATTAATATTTTATTGTTGGATCATCCTCTTTCCTCTGGGGCTATGCTTGGGGCCACTCTGACCCTCTGTCTCTTTATCACCAGCCAAGGGGAGGGGCTTTCCTGAGAGACAGAAAGGGAAACCTAAGTTAGCCGGGGGCTGGAGGCTGAGAAAGAAGTTAGAGCAGAAGGGCACAGGCTTCAGGCACAAAAAATGGGGGTGGGGGTGGCTCTCACGGGTAGGGCAGAGCTGCAGGGCCTCTTTGAAGTACTTGGGAAGCAGGAAGCCATCAGCATTCCCTGGAGTCAGGATCACCCCATTGGCAGAGCGGAAGAAGAGTATTCCATCTGCTGACAGAGCTAGAGATGTGACTCATGCCCTCCATGAAGGCCTAGGCAGTCCCTGCTGTGTCCAGACTCACCTTCCAGGGCCAGGGGTCCGTTGATGAACACAGCTATTTCACAGTTTGGCCGTATGCCTGCAGAGACAACTGGAGCTGGGGCCTAGGACACCTGAGAAGCAGTCAGCAAACCTGGGCAGGCTGGGATCCTGGGCTGGGGGGCGGAGGGTGCTGCTCCATGTGGGGCATAAGGGGACCCCAGACAAGGGAGGCTCTGACCCTTGGAGGGGACCTGGGAGGGCACTGTGGGTGGGAGTAGCTGGCAGGGAGCCACTCACCACTTATGACACCAGGGTCCCCAGGCAGTCCTGGGGCCAGGTGGATGTGCATCCTTCCCCGGCAGGACAGGCCCTTTAGCAGGATGGATGGCCAGTGCTTCCAAAATGTACCATGGACTAGCATCAGAGGTAGGGCCTGTGGTGTCTCCAGGGGAATCAGCTCCAACTCAGGTACCTGGTTGAACAGGCAGCAGTGAGACCTCCTTCACAGGCAGGGGTTCCATCTGGCTCTACCACTTGTCCCCTCAGCTCCCACCTGCAGAGAGTGTCCCTGATTGGCCCGGATGAGAGGGCCTGTACTGGGATCCCCCAGCTGCAGAGCAAACCGCTGCTTCCCATTGGTGTCCACCACGCGCTGCACATCTTCAGCTGAGAAGCTGCGGAACTGGGGCAGCTGCAGGAGGGCACCCACGGGCACGAAGCCATCTGTGGGCAGACAGGGTGCTCAGGAGACAACCTTGCTCTGGCTTGGGCCAGAGTTAACAGGGAGAGCCACAGGCAACTGGAACAACAAAGCCTCAGCTTGGGGATCACATGGGATTCATCTTTGTGACCTTTAGAAAGTCTCCTCTTTCTGGGCCTCAGTGTTTTCAACTTACGTGGAAAGTGGACCTGCCTCATGAAGGGTCACAAAGATAAAGTGTTTAGCACAGCACCTGGCCTAGACTGGACACTCAATGACATCAGATGCCAATATCCACCAGTGCACACCACTGGGATAAGTGTTTATGGAGCCACCTTGCTGGAGGGGGCATCACCAGACCTGGCCCAGACAGGGGCTCCTCTCCCAGTCTGCCATGGACATGATACAGGGCTCTGGGCCTAGGTCTTCTCTGTGCATGGGGAGCATGTGCCCTCTGTGCCTTCCTCATGGGGCAGTGGTGGAAGTCATGGGGGAGAGGTCACAGACAGGCTCACATTGCTCTCGGGTGCAAACCACTCCCCGCCAGTCTCTAAGACCCTCACTTACCGGCCCCCATAGGAAGTCCCAGCTTCAAGGCCCCATGTCGCAGGGCATAGGACAGAGCCTTGGACAGCTGCACATCTCGGTCCTGAAAAAGCCCAGAGATAGTCCTGATCTCCATGGTGACCCTGTCCTGCTGCCCACACCAAACCTAAGAGACTGACAGCCAAGGGAAACCAGAGGGAAGAGTCCCAGTGATCTCCCTGAATAATATTACCATCAGCCCTCCGCCCCCACCCCACCCACCTTTGGGCTCTGAGTCTCCCTCCCCTGTCCTCCCACCATGGGGGTGGGAGGGGTGGGGAGGGGCACACCTGTTCTCGGGGTCTGTGAGCCCTTCTGCCCCTGGGTCCTGCTGCTTCGTGACTCCTTTCTCCAGAGGAGTTCATGGCCAAGACCTATGGGGAGCACTGCCATGTGGGGACCGCTTTGAGGACCATCCCATGTTCCCACCCTGCCTAGAAAGCCACAAAACCTCAGGATGTGAGAGCTGGGAGGGGGATATACAGCTCATTAAATTCGCTTCCCACCCCCACATCCCTGGTGTAGACAGACTAAGGCCCAGCAGGCAACACTTGCCCAAGGTCACACTGTCAGCCACGGAGCCCAGGAAAGAGGAGCTCCTGTGCTTCAGGCTCGCGGGTGTGTTCCGCAAGGCCCGCCCGGGCGCGCCCCAAGACAGGGCGGAAGCGTCACGGCCGGGACCCACCGGCTGGTCCAGCGACCGCGGCCCGCAACCGGCCCGGCCAATGATAAGCCGCGGAAGGAGGGGGCGGGCACTTCCGCTTCGGGGAAGGGGCGGAGCCTGTGGGGCTGTCTGGCCGGCGAGCGGGAGCGCCTGGTGGAGGCGGGAGCTTCCGGACCCTGGGAGGGGGTCCCAGCGCGTCCGAGTTGGAGGCAGGACCCCTGGGTGTGGGACACATGGGCATTTGGGGGTGGAACCCAGGATCTCTGGGTGGAAGGGATACCTGGAGTCCCAGGGATTTCTAGCAGCAGGGACTCGGGACTCTTGCGGGGATGACAGGACACGTTACTGCCCAAAGAGTGGTCAGGGGGATGTAGAAGGGCTGAGGGTACCCTCAGAAGATCTGTGACGGAGGGAGCCATCTGCTTACCCAGGGGTGACTGTGGCGCCCCCTCGCCCCCGGCTGACAGGCCTGGTTGTGTCCTCCCATAGAGCTGCCCTGTACAGACCATGGACCCTGAGGTGTCCCTGCTGGTGCAGTGCCCTCCCGGGGGGCTGCCCCAGGAGCAGGTACAGGTCGAGCTGAGCCCAACCTACGACCGTCGCCCACTACCAGGTGGGGACAAAGCCATCACTGCCATCTGGGAGACCCGGCTACAGGCCCAACCCTGGCTCTTCAACGCCCCCAAGTTCCGCCTGCACTCAGCCACCCTGGTGCCCATTGGCTCACAGAAGCCACAGCTGCTCCTGCGCCTGGGCCTTACTTCCTACAGAGACTTCCTGGGCACCAACTGGGCCAGCTCAGCTGCCTGGCTGCGACAGCAGGGGGCCGCTGATTGGGGTGACAGGCAAGCCTATCTAGCGGACCCACTGGGGGTGGGCGCCGCACTAGCCACTGCCGATGACTTCCTTGTCTTCCTGCGCCGCTCTCGGCAGGTGGCTGAGGCCCCTGGGCTGGTGGACGTGCCTGGTGGGCACCCTGAGCCTCAGGTGAGGTGCCAGACTGGGTGCAAAGGCACAAAGACCCAGACAGCTCAGGGAGCTTCAACTCTCAGCCCTCCCAGCTTTGGTTTCCTCATTCCTTAAGGGGAAAATTGGCCTGGTGTTTCTCTGAAAATCTGCTTAGGGCACCCCTGCAGCCTCCCAACCGACCCCTGCCCCAGGCCTGTGGGAAGCTAGGAAACACAGGGTCGGGATGGGGGGAGGTGGGCAGAGGAAGAAGATACCCCATCCCACCCCCAATGCCCCATGTGACCCCTTCCTAGCTGGACCTCTGGTCGTCCACCTGAAAAAGGAAGGCCTGGGTTAGGGTAGCACCAAGACTCTTACACCATGCCCACGCCATATCTTCAGAGCCAGCAAGTATGGGGGAACACAGGGCAGGAGAAGGTGGGGAGCAGGGGCTGAGCCTGACCTCTTACAGGCCCTGTGCCCTGGTGACAGCCCCCAGCACAAGGACCTCCCTGGGGAACTGGTGATACGTGAACTCTTCTCCAGTGTCCTGCAGGAGATCTGTGATGAGGTGAGTGACAGTGACCGAGACAGAGTTGTGGGCATGAAGGGAGGGAATAGAACTTGCCAGAATTCCACAGGTCTGGGCTGGCAGGAGGGTCTGCAGGCATCTGGCTGGCATTAGGGAAAGGCTTGGCTTTGCAGCTAGGCACACTAGGAAGGGAATTCTAGCCCTCAATACCCTATGCCTCAGGTTCTTCCTCTTTACAATGGAGACCATGATAAATGTCTTGCCTGTTCCCCAAGTTTGTTGAAAAAGAATTAAAAGTCAGTTACTAAACTGACTTTTCTTGGGCGACCTTGGGTAACTGATTCAATCTCTCTGGTTCCAACTTTCCTATCTGCAAAACAAATATGCCTAAGATCTGACATTCTGTGGTGCTGGGTGCTTGACCTACAAACTGTAAAATGCTGTACAAGGTCAGCAGGCTATTTTCCATTGAGAGAGTCAGAGATGTGGGCAGTGGGCACTGACAGGTGGGACTCTCTGGCCTAGGTGAACCTGCCACTGCTCACCCTGAGCCAGCCCCGGCTGTTGGGCATTGCACGCAATGAGACCAGTGCCGGCCGAGCCAGTGCCGAGTTCTACGTCCAGTGAGTGGGCTCTGGGGCACATGATCCTGGGTCTTGGGGAGGTGGGTGGCTGAGGCAGCTGGGGCTCCACAGGGTCCCTACAGGGGCTGGTCACCCATCAAGCCACCCTCATGTTCTTGTCCAGGTGCAGCCTGACTTCTGAGCAGGTGAGGAAGCACTACCTGAGTGGGGGACCCGAGGCCCATGAGTCAACAGCAATCCTCTTTGTGGAGACACAGGTGCGGGGAGGCAAACTGCATCTTGCTTGGATGCCAGGGTTGGGGTCCACAAAGAGGCCTGGTGATGCATGTCTTGGGGGAGGAAGTGGCTGGGTTGGACAGGGGACACCCCAGTCTCTCAGAGTTTCCTCCAGAGTCACAGACTTGCCCTCAGCCCAAAGGAAAGGTCCAGGCCTGTTCAGCCCCTCAGCATGTCTCCCTAGGGACAGTGCAGTGCAGAGGGCTCTGAGGCTCAGGAATTCTGGGTACCCGCAGGAGATATGATAAAGGCTGGATGTCTGGGTCTGGTTGTTTACCCACAGAATGTGCAGAGACTGCAGGAGACCGAGATGTGGGCTGAGCTCTGCCCCTCCGCCAAAGGCGCTATCCTCCTCTACAACCGGTCTAGGGAAGTGCAACCTGAGTGGCCCTAGGGTCCCCAGCCCTACCACCAGTTCTCTGAAGAAAATAAAAGACTTTATTCTTTGATTCTGTTGGCATCTGCTATTTCGTGAGACAGAGAGGGGTGCTGGGAGAGCCCTGGGTGTGTGAGACAGACAGAACAAGTGACATGAAACCCCCTCCCCCCCCCACACACACAGAGACAGGGCGTGGTGGTTCACGCCTGTAATCCTAGCACTTTGATAGGTGGAGGCTGGAGGATCACTTGAGCCCAGGAGCTGGAGACCAGCTTGGGAAACATAGCGAGATCCCGTCTCTACAAAAAAATGAAAAACAAAAATTAGAGCTTGGTGGCACACGCCTGAAGTCCCAGCCACTAGGGAGGCTGAGGCAGGACGTTCATTTGAGCCTGGGAGTTGGAGGTTTGCAGTGAGCTATGAGGACGCCACTGCACCCCAGCCTTGGGAAGGTTGGGATGCAGGCCCCAGGACGACTATGGGGTGGAAGCACCTCTGTGAAATGGGCCTCGCTGCAGAGCGGAGCAACAGCCACGTCCGCTAAACGGAGGGATGGCGGCTGGGCCGACAGTCTCACTGAGGACTAGGCTCCATTCGGCCGCTTCCCAGGCGGGCGCTCGCGCAGGTCCGCAGGTCCGCAGGCCTCGACTTCGGTGGGTGGGTCTGAGGCCTCAAAAGCCAATAGCCGCACGGGGGCGGGGTCGCCGCGCCTTCCCGCCTGTTGGGCGTGGCCTTGGCGCCTAAACCAATGAGGGTGCGGAGGCGGGGCCTGGCTAGGCGCCGGAAATGGCGTCCGTGAGTGCGAAGGGGGCGGGGCCTGGTTGTGGCTCCTCCTTCATCGGTCCCCAGGCTCCCTACGCAGGTATGGGGGTCGCAGAGTCCCGGACCGGTTGTTCGCACACCGAGGCCAGTGCGGGGAAGGGCTCCGGACGCCCCAGTCAGAGGCGGGGGAGAGTCCAGGACACGAGGGTCTGCTGCTGAGCAAGAAGGCCGTCCCGGGCCTGCTTCAATCTTCCTTCGCAAGAAAACGGAGCCAAGCCCCTTCCCTCTGCCCTCGGGGTACCTGAAGTCTGGCCCCGCCCTGGTCCCAATGCACTCTTGGTGGCCTCCTTTCTCCCGCTGCCCGCCCACCACCATGCCGCCCCTGCTGCCCTTGCGCCTATGCCGTCTGTGGCCCCGCAGCCCTCCCACTCGGCTCCTCGGAGCGGCCGCCGGGCAGCGGTGAGTTGGGCTCTGGGGGCCGGGCCCAGTGGTTCAGTGGTTTCTGTTGCGGGCTGCCCTATATACTGAGACAGTTGTGGTCTCTAGTCTGTGTCTGGTGCCTTACAGCCTTGTCTCAGGTAACCTTCACCTTCAATGCTGAGGACACTGAGAATCAGAGGTAAAGAGACAGCCCCCAAGATCATACAGCGATTTAAATGGCAGATCAGGAATTTGAGTCCACGTCAAACGCAATGCTCTGTCCAGAATTCTAGTGGTCGTCAAGCATCACTGTGCATAACTGACTTGCGGGGGGTGGGTACGTGGGGTACAGAAATGCAGTTTCCTGGGCCTTGCTCTGGAGATTCTGAACTGGAGGAATGAGGTGGGTGGGGCTCAGGAATCTGTTTTTTTAAACAAATTTTTCAGGTGTTTCTGATGCTAGGGATCTGAGGATTACACTTGGAGGGGTCCTGATCTGCACTATGCCTGAAACACTGCAAAAGAAAGGAGCTATCTGCAGATATGTCTTAGGGCCTATCTTAGCACTCAGCTTCTGGTGGCTAAATTGAAGGGTGTGGCCCAAGGAGGCTGGGAGGGGCAGGGCAGAGGTATCCTCTGGGTTCCCTCAGCCCCTACAAGTTTGGGACTCTCTCCACAGGTCCAGCCCGAGTAATTATTATGAACTGTTGGGGGTGCATCCTGGTGCCAGCACTGAAGAAGTTAAACGAGCTTTTTTCACCAAGTCCAAAGAGGTACCAGTGCCCCTAAGATGAGTAGAGGGGAAGAGGAAATATGAGCCCAAGTTCCTAGGAGTAGACCTGTGTCTCTGGCTGGTGCCACATCCCTTCAGCCTGCATAGGGAGTGGGAGGCACTCAACCGGCAGGGGTCTGGCCTGGTGGGAGGAAAGGCTGGGGGCAGGAGCCAGGGGTCCTGTCTGCTGGGCTGGGCTTGGTTTTCTTGACCTGCCTGTTCTTGAGGATTCTAGGCCAGGGCATATGGTGAGAGCAGGGGGCTGACAGGTCGGGAGGGGGCAGAGGTCTGTGTTTTCTGACTCTCTGGCCTTCTGGAGGGGTGGGCAGGCCTGAAAGGGTTGCTGGCCAGGGTTGCTGGCCTCTGGGAATGATTGGAGCCCTTGTTGGTGGATGGGTCCTGGGAAAGGGAGATAAGGGGAGTCCTGCCCTACCCCAGCTGCACCCCGACCGGGACCCTGGGAACCCAACCCTGCACAGCCGCTTTGTGGAGCTGAGTGAGGCATACCGCGTGCTCAGCCATGAGCAGAGCCGCCGCAGCTATGACCACCAGCTCTGCTCAGCCAGCCCCCTGAAGTCTCGAGGAAACACAGCCCACCCCAAGTCTGCCCACCAAACACACAGGTACAGTAGTCCTGCCCCCAGCTTGTTCCCACCCCCAGGTCTCCTGAGGAGGCTTATCCCCACACTATCCCTTCCTCTGCCTCCTAGCAGCTCCTGGGCACCCCCCAACGCACAATACTGGGCCCAGTTTCATGGTGTGAGGCCGCAGGGGCCCGAATCGAGGCAGCAGCAACATAAACTCAACCAGCGAGTGGTGGGGTATTGTCTCCTGCTCATGCTGGCAGGCATGGGCCTGCATTATGTCGCCTTCAGGTGTATCTCTGTCCTCCCCTGGGGTGATGGGCCTAGGGCAGGAGGGTGGGTGAATCCCAGTGTGGCCTGCCATCCATCCACAGCCCTCTATGGCCTGCAGTCTTGCGTTTCTCAGGCTAAGGACTGCATGAAATCAGTCTCTGGAGCCTTCCCTTGGTAAAGGCAGCACTGCATGAAGGGCTAATGTCATTTTCAGTTTTTCATCATTTGAATGTAAATCTTTGGTGCCGGCTGCCAGAGAGGGCTGCAGCCAACCAAAATCATGTACAAGAAGCCAATGTGTTGGAACTGGGCCTCTCTAGCAGCGGTCCTCATTTATTTGGCAGTCTCCCCAGCACTCTCTCACCCCATCCATGAAGTGGATTTTCTACAGCAAAGATACCTAAAGGCCAGTGCCCACTGCTAGCAGCTGCCTAGTTCAGAGATAGAGTTAGATGTAGGTACAACCCTTTCTAGTCTCCTGGGAGGAGCACTGCCATGTCCACAGCTGCTGTCACCACCTTCAGCAGGACAGCAGGGACTTGGGGTGCCACTGGACCCTGGACAAGCCAGGCCACTCTGTGTCATTCTCCCCACCTATCCCAGGCAGGGTTGGGCTGAGGTCCCCACAGATGTAAAGCTGGGAGGCCCTAGAGTGGGGTGGGAGGGGGATAGAACTTGAGGGACAGGAGGGACTGGAGTCCCAGGGTTAACTGTGACCCCCTTGCAGGAAGTTGGAACAGATACACCGTAGCTTTATGGATGAAAAGGATCGGATCATCACTGCAATCTACAATGACACTCGGGCTCAGGCAAGGTCTGTCCCTGCTCTCTTCTGACCCCTGCTCCCTGTCCTGGCACCACCCTCTGGGATCCCTGTCCCAACCTCCCAGGTTCTCTCTCCTCCAGGGCCAACAGAGCCAGGCTCCAGAAGGAGCAACTGCAGAAGCAGCCGCCACCACCCGGGCCTCCCCAAGGCCCTGGGCTCGTGACCCCGGGCACCAGCCCCTGAGGAGCTCACCTGGGTGGGGCCTGCTCTGTGCTCCCTCCTTGCTTCCTTCCCAGGACTGCCCACTCCCCAAAACGCGTGCAATAAAGTGATTTTCAGAGCTCATGTCCGCCTTCCTCCTTCCGGCCCAGCGCCCCTCGCTCCAGCCTCGCCTTGGGGCAGCTCCTCGACCTCTGGGTTCTTGCGACGGCGACCCGGGAGCCCGGCCCCCTGGGCGGTGCGTCCCCTTTCCCCCGCAGCGCCGGGAGGGGGTGTGTGGAGGGGCGGGCCCCGCCAGCGGCCTCGCCAGCTCTCCGCCGCCCCGCCCCCGCCCCACGGCCCGGTGGGGAGCGCGTGTCTGGGTCACATGAGCCGCCCGCCCGCCAGCCCGGGCCCGGCCCCCCGCCG